GAAGGGAGGGCTAGGAATGGGGAAAAAATAAGAACCAAGATGCATTATATAAAGGTACAGTTCCCAATGAGAAATGTAATTGTGTTGTATACCTACAATGTACCAGTAAAAGAATTTAATTAAAAAAAAACCAAGTAGTAAGAGAAAGATTTCACCTGGGGAGGGATAAATTCCTTATCAGCTTAACTCATCCCACCTACTGTTGTAAGAACATCTTTGCTCATTTTAGTGTCCTAGTCAACATAAGATCCTCATCAGCATAAGATTCTCATGGTCCTAGGATTACCACCACCCTCCAAGAGGCATCTGATACTACCTCCCATTATAAGATCCTTGTCAATTTAGGATTATCACCACCCTCGGAGTCATCTGTTACTCCCTATGAACCAAATAAATAGTGACAAGCTCGGGGTATCTTTGTCTTTACTGCCCAGAGCAGCATTGGTCAGGCCAGAACCCAGCATCTTCTCTAAGTCTCATTTCTGGTCTTTATTCTTTAATTTGCCTTATGTTGTGGCTCACAGGAGACCAGGACCCACTGCAGGGGTTCTGGTAATGTCCGCCTTCCCTGTTCCCTACACTCAGGCCTCTGTTCTCGGAGGCATCACGGTACTCAGAGGTTGGAACAAGTCAAGTGTCCATTAACAGAGGGATTCTCTTCAGCCACAACACAAAATGAAGCGAAAACAGGGAACCTCGTGGATGAACTTTGACAACTTTATACTACAGCCAGACATAAAAGCACAACTCTTGTATAGTTCCACTCACATGAACAGGCCAGTTCATGGAGACAGTAAATAGAGACTACCTGGGGCTGAAGGGAAGGGAGAAGGGGAGAGATGTTCAGTGGGCACAAAACTTCTGCTTGGACTAATGACAAATTCCTGGCTATAGAGAAAAATGGTGATTGCACATTTGAGTGAACTTATTGTCACTGAACTGGGCACTTACAATAATTTTTTTAAAAGATGGTGTCTCACTCTGTTGCCCAGGCTGGTCTCAAACTCCTGGGCTCCAATGATCCTCCTGCCTCAGCCTATAGAGCAGCTAGTATTACCGATACGCAGTACCTTGTCCAGCTCCTTTTTGTTTTTCTTTTTTGGTAGCAGAGATTGAACTCGGGACCTTGCACTTTTGAGGCAGGCAGTGGCACCCCTGAGCTACATCCCCAGCCCAGTTCTCCAGCTACTTAAGACTAGTTAAAATGGCAAATTTTTTTATACCTATTTTGCCACAATTAAAAATAAAATGAGGGGTTGGGGATTTAGCTCAGTGGTTTCACCGCCTGCTGCACAAGCACAAGGACCCGAGTTCAATCCCCAGTACCAAAAAAAAAAAAAAATATATATATATATATATATATATATATATATTCTTTGCAAAAATAAAATGGTAAAAAAAATGAGTTTGGAAAACATTAGATCAAGGCCAGCCTGAATTACATAGCAAGGCCTTATCTTAAAAATGAAAGACGGAAAGGACGGAAGGAGGGAAGGAGGGAGGGGAAAAAAGAAAGGAAGGAAGAAGAAAGAAAGAGAGGAGGAAGAAAGACAGAAAGAAGAGCAGATTTCTTTATTATCTGACCTTACTGGGCTAGCTTGAATTGTCAGCCTTCCAGAAGTGAGCTATTAGAATGTCACAAAGCACTTTTCTTTTTTTCAGAGCAAACTATAAGAGTTAATCAATAACTAGTAGGTACTTAAACTAGTAGACAGTAAAATGAGAGAAAACACTGATTTCAGGCACTGTTTGAATACGCAAAATACAGTTAGGCTTTATAAGCATCTGGCCCCAGAAAGTTCACTGTTCCTTGAATGAGTTAGAATTAATTTCCTGTTTTTCAAATGTTATCATTATTATTAAATAGTAAAACACTTTTTCATTAAGTGCCTTTAGTCATTATCCAAATCTCATACAATACATTTTGTTAGCTTCATTTCAGTGCTTTTAGAAGTCAGCTTATTTGTCCAGAGTTCCCCCAGGGGAAAGTTGGCATCATCTGGAGTCATTTCTGGTGGTCACATGGGTAGGGGAGGGTGCCATGGCATCTAGAGTGGAGGCCAGGGATGGCACTAAGTGTCCTACGATGCCCAGGGCAGCCCAAGCCACATGGTCTAAAATGTCATTAGTGCCAGTACCATGATGCCTGATCACATGTAATCCAATGTGCTATTTTTCCCCTTTTACAAGTAGATTTTTCTAGTATGGCACCCATTTCTGGGAACGTCAGCCAGGACCCAGCCCTCAGCCATTCACTTGCACATCACATGTCATAGGGGCTTTGGCTAAATGAAATAAGCCAGCCACAAAAACACAAAGACTGCATGACTTCACACACATTCAGTATCTAAAGGAACCAAACTCATTGAAAGAAAAAGGAGACTATGACTGTCCAGGAAGGGGGACCAGCAGATGGGCACTTGTCCCTTAAGGGGTAGGCTTTCCGTTATGCAGCGATGGTGAAGTTCTAGCAATCTGCAAGATGGTTATGATCGTACATTTCGTGTTATGTGTTTTTAACACATTTTTAAAAATATCTTAGGGCCGGGGATTTAGCTCAGTGGTTCTGCCACCTGCCTCGCAAGTGACAGGTCCCGAGTTCAATGCCCGGTACCAAACCAAAAAAAAAAAAAAAAATCTTAGTCTTTGACATCAGGATTGGGGGCAGAGTGTGAATGTCACCCAGCTCAGCATTAAGGGTTAGAAAAGGAACCTGGGTCTGATTTTCCAGTGGTGGTCCATATATCTGATTAAAAGCTGCTCCGCAGTCCAGCTACTTTGACAGAAATGCAAAACTTTGTGACCTGTGGAAGGGTGGGGCCACTGACTCTCTCTGCAGTGTACAACAAATACTTTATTTAGGGGCGATAACTAAGGTCATTCATAAATACAAATGTTAATTAGAACTAGGTGCCCTTCAAAAGTGTTTTCTATACATTTGTTTGCGTTGGTCCCAGTTTCTAAAATACTTTTTGTTTTGCTTTGGCTGTATTTACCTAATCCCGATAAGGTTAGTCCACATTAAAGTGTTATCGCTCTGTATTTCCAAGTGCAAATATTTTACCACCTTCTTAGAAAAGCACAAATATTGTCCTTAGCTTAGGTCAGTGTCTGAGAGGTTAGAAATGGCACTGAAGAGCAGACCTCAGAAGTTAAGACAGCCTCCTCCGCTGTTCCATCTGTCCTTCCCTTGAATAGCCAGTCAGATCTAGAGAGCTTGTGAGGCTTCATTGTGGGGCAAAACGAAGGGAATGATTTTGCAAGCAGCTCATTGTCCTGAACCAGGAGTGACCAGCAGCCTCTCCCAGGAGTCACTTTGCTTCTCAGGGTGGCATTTTTCCCCCTCGGTAGAATAAATAACACGACAACAAGATGACTTCTCTGCTCCTTTCTACTTCTATCCCCGGAGCACCTTCTTAGGCAGTCTCTGAACTTTTCTGAACTAGTAAAATAAGGAAATAGTGAGAATTTTAAATTTGCTCAGTCAAATGACAGGAAGACAGAGGTGTGTCCCCCTTCTTGGATAACCAATCTAAACAATGCGCCTTCTGAGGAAACCCCAGGGATACGCTGCTGGCAGGGGCGCTTCGGGCCCTCAGAGGCCAGCCAGGCCCCTCGTCCTTCCGTCTTCAGGACGGGGACTCCCTGGGGTGCGCAGTCGGTGGGAACAAACTGGCGGCCCCTGAGCCCGGTCCCACCTGTCCTCCCATCTCCAGCCCCTAAGGGACGGACGCGCAGAGCGACTCCGCTGGGGACCGCTGGGTGGCAGCACCGCGTCTGGCCAAGGCCTGCTCCGCCGCCGCGGTCGGGCGAAGCCAGTGCCCCAACTTCCAGTTGGAGGGCATTTACCACGCCGCCGCAGAGTGTGCTGAACGTGGGGTCCGCCTCTGCAGTCGCTGAGTTGTAAATCAGCCCTGCTGGCTTTATCTTTATTTTACAAAGACATTGAATCAGAAAAGTAAAGTAACTTGTCCAAGGTCACAACTGGGAACCAGCAAAGCCAGGA